CCACGTCAACCTCAGACCATGAGGTGACAGTGACCCACGTCAACCTCGGACCATCAGGAGACCTCTTCAGCCCGACCTCAACCAGAGGACCTTGACCCACCTCAAACCACGAGGTGACAGCAACCCTCATGCATCCTATTACAGCCAACGGACATTGGGTGTCCCCATGCTGAGAGGACCCATCATGGGCAACGAGTGGGCAGCGACCCTCATTCCAGCCGAGGGACAGCAACCCACTTCCAAGCTGGACCACGAGGTGACAGCGATCCTCATTCTTTCACCTCGGCAAAGTGACAGTGACCAACGTTCATGCTGGAGTAAACTCATTACTCCTCCGGACATGAGGTGACACCAAACCTCATTCCCCCACGTCCATGCGGGACCACGAGGAGGCAGTCAACTCACTACCCCACATTCCCAATGGACGTAAGGCGATGCCGAACCCCACACCTCGGACCACGAGGCGGTGGCGACCCCAGCTCCGCCACCAGCCACTGCTCCACGTCCCCACCGCACCGCGAGGCGGCAGCGACTCCCAGCAAAGACACACCGACCCGCGTCCGCTCCGGCCCACGAGCTGACAGCCAAGCCGTCAGCTCACGTCCTCGCTGAACGCCGAGCCCCGTTCCTCCACATCCAAGCCGGGCCACGAGGTGACAGCGATCCCCCCGTTCCCACCGCACCCCGGGCCCCCGCCCTTACCTCCACACCTGTCCCATCTGCAGCAGGTGGATGACGGACTGCCAGACCCAGACGGAGATCCTGCAGAGGCGCTGCGCCCCGGGGGTGGCGGTGCCGGCGGCTCCTCCTACCCCGCCGGGTCCCCCCCGGCGCCCGGCGGCCCCCATCATGGGCGGCCCGCGGCTGCTGAGGCCCTGCACGGCGCCCAGCCCTCCGCCCGTGTAGTCCTGCACGAACCAGCGGAAGCTGAGGATCTGCACCAGCACCGAGGGCAGCAGCACGAAGGCCAGCGTCAGGCCGCACCAGACGTAGTCCCGCCGCCCGTAGTGGTGCAGCGCCAGCCACAGGTCCGTGCCCACGTCCCCCAGCAGCACCAGCAGCGCCAGCACGATCCACAGGCAGTCCAGCCACGGCCGCTCGCCCGCCCCTCCGACCTCCGGCGCCCGCGGCGCTCCCTCGTCGGCGGGGCGCGGGGCCAGCGGCTCGGCGGCGGCGGCGGCGGCCGCCCGCCCGAAGAGGTTCCGCAGGCAGGCGCTCCGGCAGCCCCAGTAGCACGACGACGTGTTGCAGCAGTGGCAGATGTGCAAGGAGCTGCTGCCGCCCGGCTCCTCCGCGCCCTCCGCCGCCGCTGCCCCGACGCCGCCGCAGACGCCCGCCGCCGCCGCCGCCGCCTCGTCC